AGAGAGAGGCCAGCTCAGCCCACCAGGGGGCGGGCTGGCTGGCATGTGGTGCTGGGGGATTGAACAGCGGTCCCTGATGCTTTTTGCTAAGCTTGTTCTAAGTAGGTGCTTTAGACCACTGAGCCATCTCTCCAGCCCCCAAGGTGTAGCTTTTAATGCCCTAAAATTGCAAGAGTTTTTCAAGCATGACTAACTCTTCTGAATTCAGAGCCAGACAGACATGGGATTGGATTGTGAAGAAACTTTGGGTAGCCAGGCTCAGTGCCACATGGCACAGATTACATGTCTGTAATCCCAGATACTCAGGAGGCTAAAGCAGGAAGATTTTAAATTTAAGGCCAACCTGTGCAATTTAGCAAAACCTGTCTTGGAAAAGCTTTAGGTGGCCTGTCTGATATGGGGAGCGAGTTGGGGGTCTGCATCCAGATCTGAGACCAGAGCTTGAGCCATCAGCTGGCTCGTCAGTCACCACTAGGCTTCTCAGTGGCAGAGGGCTTTAATCCAGGGAAGCCCAATCTGTTTAAGGGGTTAAGATTAGGTTGCTAGTTGATAAATGGGAGTCAGGGAACATATAAATGAAAAGGTGATACACTAACCTTTTCTATAATATCTGTATCATCAGCCTTCTTTACATTGCACAGGAGGTTGTCTTTAGCCATGTTGATGTTGGTGGTGCAAGGGAAATAAAGCCATAGGAAATGTAGAAGAAAATAGGGTAATATATCACTCGCGGTCAGTGCACTTTTAGGTTTTCCAGATCCAAGAAAAATGCTACTGGGGAAGGGGAGAGGAGACTGACATCTTGAGGAAGAAAGCAAGAAAAGGAATACTTTGTAGTGACTGGAGTAGAGAGTAGCAGCCTGACTAGTATTTGAAACTAGTCAGCTATGATCAACCTAGCAGTGTAGCCTGAAGTACCCTCACTGGAGCTCTGTTACCCCCTTTGTGCCAGCGATCTGAGCACCTCGGGAAATGAAAGTCAGCTTTTTCTGTGGAGAAAATTAGGCAGCCCTACTTCAGGCCCATAGGCTTTGTTTCCAAAGACAAAATGCATGCCAATACCAAATGGGTTAATTCCTTTGGAGCAAACCATAGCCATTGTAGTTACAGTCTTTAAGTATTAGGAGCATATTCACTAGTTATTACAGTGTTGGGTTGCTAGGTGCTGAACTTAAGCTAGGTAATTTTAGGTATACATAAAGTAGCAATGAAGAATAAGGATAAGAATACCACTTGGGAAGTTGCCCCATTTTTTTTCAGGTTTATTCACTTGGAGTGAAGACTCTTGACTTCTATCCTCTTTTTCTTCCACGAATTTCTTCTTACAGATGATGCAGTTGTGTGGTTAAGTTTCATCTTTCCTAAGTATGTGTCAGAAACTTTTATGAAGCAGGCATTACATAATTGGAGTGTGACATTGCAGTTACATAGGGTAAAACAGATTTGTGGTCATTGCTCTTGGGGATGTGAGTATAAGTGGCACAGCTTTGTGTCATAGGGCTTCAGTGAGCTCAGGTGGAACCTGTTTTATAGTATGTAAGAAGGGAGGTCATTGTAGTACTGATAGTTTTCTGAATGATGTATGATATGTGGAGGTACAGTTACATTTGGAAATTTTTGGGAAGAGTTGCTATGATTTTGATAAAGGACAGGGCATGTATATGTAAGCACTCAAACACACACACACACACACACACACACACACAGTGAATCTTGCAGCAGGGAAAATAAATGGATCAAGGGAGCACCCACAGACACATGGGTTTTTTTTAAATTTTTTTTTCACACATGGGTTTTATTTTATTTTATTTTATTTTTGCCAGTTCAATATAGTTTATTAAATACTGTAGAAACATAATCCACATACTTAAGTGACTTTTTAAAAAAATACATAATACATGTGCATTAAGATATTTTTATTTTGGACTGCATTTTTATGGAAATTTTGTGGAGAAGTACTTGCATCAAGCATATTGTATTAATTAGTTGTATATGCTTCCATTACTTGAGAAACTTTCACAGGATTATCAAACTAAGCTCATAAACTTTCTCTCCAGTTCACACATGGGCTTTAAATTTGCATTGGCTCAAGTAGAATTTTCTAAGCATCATACAGGCAGTGTAATTATAAGTGCTGAACTGAGTGACCTGTAAATGGCATTTGATTTGAACCAGTTCGTGCATTTAGGCATTGAGTTATCTAGCCACTATATATGAATATAAGCTGGTGTTGGTAGCCTGTCCCACTGCCCCTGTCTTCTGCATCTCTTGGGACCCTATTCTATTTTAGTAGTGTGGCTTTTCAGGGCAAGTAAACAGAGAAGAATCAAATATTAACTGAAAGAATTAACTGTTTACCAAGAGCTACCTTTACACTGCCTTTGTGACTGTTATTTCTGGTATGTGTTTTAGTCAATAGCTGTGCCGTGAACCCATGTCTTCATGATGGCAAATGTATTGTGGACCTCACCAATCATGGCTATCGATGTATCTGCCCTCCTTCATGGCAAGGAGACAACTGCAGTGTGGGTAAGAATAAAAGTAATGTCCAGGTGTCTATGGTATCATGTCAGCTATTCAAAATGTAGAAGAATAAGTACTTAAATTAATACCATGCCTACCTGAGAGTTAATATGCTTCTGTGTTGCCAGCAAGATAATATGAGATACTGTAATATGCTGATAAACTTTCTTATCTGGTTACATTTGTCAGATTCTCTACACTTCTGCCACACTGGGGCACCTGCAGTTCCTTAAAGACCCCTTCACTGCCTTGTCCTTGGCATTTAATGTTCTGGTGCCTAGATCTGGTCCACCCAAGTCTGTTTCTTGAAGTCCTTCCAGTGTTAGCCCAGATGTTTTGTGAAATGTCCTTCATTCCCTCCTCCATCAAAATTTGCTGTTTTCTCTATACATCTTTAACACACCTTGTGATTATAGCTGTTTGTATGCCCACCTCTGTCTTCAGGAGTGGCTGATCTCTTGCTCATCTTATGGGCCTCACTGTACCTAGGGCCATTTGATTCTTAGTGAGTACTTACTTTGTACTCAATTAATGATTTTTCTGTCTGCCAAAATCATGTGGTCTTTTTTTTTTTTTCCTTTGCAGATGTGAACGAATGCCTCTTGAATCGCTGCCCACGTCAGGCCATATGTAACAATACTCAGGGATCTTTTATCTGTAGATGCCCCGTTGGCTACCATTTGGAAAAAGGAATCTGCAGTTTGGGTAAGAGATTTAGTCTATCTTAGAATTTATTCTCACAATGTATTTTATAAAATAACATTTACTATTTTAATTTCTAGTCAAAATTATTATTTGTTCAAGATATAATTTTAAGAAATTAAGAAAAGAGTAGAAGACATTGCCTATTTTAACATTCAGAAATACACTGTAATTTTTAATATGCATCATATTTTATATAAGATTTCTGAAAACATTTTCCTGTTACTAAAAATATTATATAAATATCTTAATGGCTGTATACTGTGTTGTCCTTTGTATATATCATTTGTATATTTGTGCTTAACCTAAATTCTACCCTTTAATTAGGGAAAATAATCGAAAGGATATTCTCACTAAATAGTTTAAAAAACATTGTGGAGAGAATAAAATTCTGATTGTCCTACCACATTCACACATTTTTACCATTTTATTTATTTATTTATTTTTTGTTTTTTGTTTGGCAGAACCAGGGATTAAACTCAGGCCCTTGTGCTTGCCAGGCAAGCGCTTATTCTACTGAGCCATCTCCCTGGCCCCATTTTTACCATTTTAAAAAATGATCTTCATATTCTTATTTGTAGGCAGATACATTTTGGTAAAACTGCTCCTATAATTGTATCAGACTTTTGTCATAGTTTATTTCCTAATTTGATAGATTCATGAAGCTGTTTGGTTTTAAATACAAACTCCATTTTATAGGTTAAAAAGCAGACAGGCAAACCAAATAAAAACTAAGAACCTCACAAGGTTATGAGTGGCCAGGTTTATGTAACCCATTGATAAGAGGCCTAGTTTGCAGCCTATAGTTCTTTCCATTATACAACGAGTTCATTGTAAGATCCTTCGTGTATACGGAGTATGACCCTTGGGAAGATGACAGTTTAGTACCAAACTTTCTAAAGAAATTAGAAGGGAAAATACAGAGTTTCTAAGAGGAAAGAAGAAACTGGCAGATAAAATGACCACCAGTTAAATCACCTTAAGTTGCCCAATGGGATACTTAACACAGTGCTCAGTGAATATTTTTGAGAGACTAAATGTGTATGTTTTTTGAAAGTTATCTTCATGAATTCCTATTACACTCAGGGATAAGGGACTTTTTAAGAAGGTTGGTACCCTACTAAAATAACAGTAAAAGTTTGAAAATTGGAGTATAAGAATTGGACCCTTTTTTAACGAAAAAGAATCTAGACATATAGATATCAGTCAAATCAAGAATTCCTTTGATTCTTATAAGTTATTTACACTTAGGTAATCTGTTTTGTTTAGGCATACTTTATGTGACCAAAGCCAACAGTTTTTAGTTTAAAAAGAAAGAAAAAGGAAATAATTTTGTTTTGAAGTACATTCATCCAGAGGCCTAGTTTCTAGCTTCAGGGTCACCACCTACAGTATATAGCCACTGAGCCTCAGTTTCCTCATCTATAAAATCATTACAGTCTGCTTTGCTTCTCAGTCAAGATTATTGTGAGGATCAAAAAAAACTATATTGGACCAAGCTTTGAAAATAGTTAAGAACTGTCCAGATGGGAAGTTTCATTTAACATTAGTCTCAAACCCTTGGACCAAATTTAAAGCTATGAGAACAAACTACTCTGATACAAAGTAGTAATTATGAAAATTTCCACAAGTTATTTAGCTAAGATAGTTAAATGCTGTGCTTTATTAACATAGCAGTTAATCAAAAGTTAAATTTGAAGCAGAAATTCATCTTAAAGTTGGATGATGTTACTGCAGGCAGGAAGGTATAAATAAATGTCTTTAGAAAAATCCCTGCCTAGAAAGAGTGTGGGGTTTGGGAGGCCTGATACAGCTTCATACTCATGCTGAGAGCAGACCCCTCATCAACTGCCAAGATTCAGAAACTTCTTTGTACTCGTGGTGTGTACCCATTTCCACTGTGCACATTTCTGTAGGGAGAGTCTGGATGTGCCTGGACGTGTGAGAGGTGAAGATGAAGGAGAGGGGTGACTGTTCCAGAAGCCTGTGTGCAGTGCCCCACAGGTAGCACAGATGAGGAGAGCAGCTCTATTGTGTTAACAATCATCTTTCCCTTTTCAAGTCATTTAGCCTTATTGTTCATAAACATCAGAGGAACATGCAAATTAGAGCATGCTGAAATGCTTTCATTTGGCCAAGAATGTTTTCAAAGAGCTCCCTGCTGCTCAGAAAGAGTCCTAAGCAGCTGGCTTCACTGAACTGTAGAACAAGCAGAAAGATGTTAAATAAGGATTAAGGGCTTTAGACAGTCAAGTATAAGATGTTAAATGTTTTCCTTAGCTCATTTATGCCCCTTTTTCTTAATTCTGCATGCAAGCTTTCCGTGAAAGAGCAGCTTCATGCGCTTCTGTGTTTTGGATTTTTTTTTTTTTTCTGTCCAGAGGGAAAGATAAGAATTTAATATAATGGAAGATGAGAGCCAGATATAAAGCAGGCTGTCAATTTTTGGTTGTCTGCCCATTTCTAAGTCCCATTCCCCTCAGGCCAAATCAGCACAAATTGGTGTTATTTTATGAGTGAAATGGGCCTTGAAAATGGGGTTGTTTTCCTTAATTTCTGAACCCAGCAGTGTCTTAAACAGGGGTTATTTTCATTAGGTGGCTCATAATCAGGGAGGCTGACAGACCCCAGAGTATAGACCCACTAAGAGTGCTTGGCTCCTTTCTCTGTAGCTACTGGTTGTTCTCAGAACATCATACACTTTGGGAAGCAGAGGATATCATAGGGTAAGAAGAACTTTGAAGAAGCACACACAGGAATTTGAATGCTGGGTTTGATCCCCGCAAGCTGAATGATCTTTCTCAAGAAGTTACCTAACTTCTGGAAACCATTGTTTATCAATAATAAAACAGGCATTTCTGCTGAGCAAGAGTAAGAGGGTTGGAAAGGGGTGTCTTTAATGAGAAGAAGAAACTGAAGCACCCCTTTGAAGTAAAAAGCACCCCTTAGAGAACAAGAGCTTTCCTTCTTCTAAAGTCTGACGAAGCCTGATGAATAATTTTAGTATTTGTCCCCACATCTCCACTCCTTTCTCTGAAACTATGTTTTTTAGACCTGCTCATCATTCGTATCACAACCTTATTGAGCATCTGTTTTGTAGGAGGCCATCTGGGTGATGTCCACAAGATGCCTCTTCTCCACAGTACTTGTACATACACCAAAAAAGACGTCTTGGCATCTCCCACCCAAAGGATTTCTCAGTCTTAACTCTTCAGGTCAGTCGAGTAGATTGCTCACTCTGCTTGACAGGAACCTAGGAGAGGCAGGGACAGTCTCTACCCTCAAGGAAAAACAAATGCAGAGCTCATCCTGTATAGGAGGGTAAAACTGGCTACCCACAGAGATTCACAGACAGTGGCCTTGCATGGGCCTTTCTGTTGTATGATTTAATGGGTAACCTCTTCATTTTCAGTTAGAACCTTCGTGTCAGAGTTTAAAGTGAAGAAACAGTTTCTTAATACTACCTTGGAAAAATATTCAGATTTACATAAAATTGAAAGTGAAATCACCAAAATGGTAAGTTTCCTTAAAAGCCTCTTGTTTAAAAAAAAAAAAAGAAAAAAGCCTTTTGTGATAATCTTTTTTTTTTATAGAACAGATTTTATTCAGAGTGGTGAACCGCTTATGGTTCACCTCTCTGGGACTCTTCATTTCTTTTATGTCTGCAAGGGAAACTTCATAGTAAAATACAAAGCCTCTTGGAAATAGAAGAAAGCTGTTGAGAAAGAACACTAGAAATACTAGAAGTATTTCTTCAGTTTGTCTTCACATTTAGTCTTCACTGCATTGTGTTTCTTTTCCACATGCAAACTCTTTTTTTTTGCGGAACCGGAGATTGAACTCAGGCCCTTACGCTTGCCAGGGAAACACTTATTCCACTGAGTCATCTCCCCGGCCCCAACATACAAACTCTTAATCACAGAATAAAAGGCTGCATATACCAGAGAGGGATGTAGGGGAAGAGGGAAGACCCAGTGCTGTTCAGACAACTCCTTTTCAGGTGGTACAAAAATTTAGGGCCTGTGTAAGGTATAATCCTTCACATTATTCAGAGCTTGGTGTCTTACCTGACTTGTATTTTTCGTCCAGTGTCACTGATATATGGATGATATTCAGCTGCCAAATAATCCAATATTATAAGGGAAATAGTTTAACTTCCAATCTGCTAGCTGAGTTCATGTTCTCTAAAATCAAAGAATAAATTCTAAGAGCAACAGAGGTTAAAAGCAGAAAATATTTATTGGTAGAAAGTTTCATCTAAGAGAAACAGAAGGGGTCCCATGTGAGTTGCTGAGGACCTCACTTATAAGGGGAGTTTCACTGAGGGGAGTTTCATAGAGTAGAACCATGAGGTGAGGTGGGTCTAAGGTAGGAAAAACTATAATCAGCTAGTAAGATTATGTGTATAATTGCCTAGGTAACATTGATCCAAGGGGAAATCACAAGGTGGGTATAAGATAGGATAAAACTGTAATGAACCTATGAAATTACAAGTATAATCACTTAAATAATGTTGGTTAAATGGGGATGCAAGTTATATATCAAATATTCAGAGAAAAAACCAGGACTTTTCCTGAAAGGGAGGTTTTGTTCCCTTGCTCAAGGCAATGGATACCTATTTAGAATGTAGACACAGTCATTTTATCTTTTGTTTTGAGATCTGGCCTTTATGAATGTGCCCTACCAACCGTTATAATCTATCTGTATTTACTCTTTTCAAGGGTCTATCACTCTCTGACTGCTTATAATATTTCTAATTAACAGCTTTCTATAATGTCACTATATAATTTATTGGAGATATGGTCAACCTGTCTATAAGAAACGGTAAAGAATTAAACAGCAAGTGAGAAAACTATTCACATGATCTTTCCCAAGATGCCATTCTGTTTAACAGTCCTTGGAGAAAAAGTTATTAATGTAAGCATTTGATAACATTCCACACTTCTCTCCACCTCTGAAGAATCGGATGGCTCTGAGGCACTGGTTTTAGAGATAGATGAGTCTTCATGAGACATGATATTGAGACCTTCTGCTCTGTAGAAGTTATCTCCAGTCCTTGTTATGGAAGGTAGGTAGGAAGTAGGCACATACTTTATGGTATAAAGGGATTTTCTGCTCTCTCTGAGGGTGCAAGGCAAACATAAGGAGTATGTCTTAATTTTCTCTCAACCAAGGGGCTCTTGACTCACAGATTGTAATTTCCCATGGAGAGCCTTTTTGAAGAAAACCTAGCTTTGACTTAGGTCAACTCATTGTAGATGATGAGGGCTCTATATTGTGCCCATCAGACCTGAGGAAGCTGAGAGAATCTGAGTCTTTTCAGTGAACATGTTCACATATGCAGAATACAAATAAACAGTTGCCTCTGAGTTTCTGAAACCCTAGGTCTTAGAAGAGATTTGCGCCTTTGAAGATGTTTTGTGTCCAAGGGTGCTGTTCTGAACATTATTTCCTGCCAAGATTCCCCCACTGATTTACTATTTGCCTCTCTCCCTTTGTACTCAGGGAACAACAGAAAGGCATTTAAGAGAGGAACAAAAAAAAAAAAAAAAAAAAAAAGGATACCACTTGTGTTTAAAGCTGCCTGCTGGTAACTTGATGGCTGGAAAATGTCTATTTTATCCTGAAAATAGATTCTTGGTTGAAGGCTTTTGTGTAGCTTGCAATTAATGATGAATCTGTTCTTCCTTGCAGTTAAATATATGTTTTTCAACATTACCTGGTTATATCCAATCCACAGCTCATGTATCAAGGTAAGAAACAAAATTATATTTGTCTGTGAACCAGTCTGTGGAAAAGGGAGGCTATTCTCATAGGGACAATAGCAACAAAACTGGGCTCTATTTCAATTGAGCCTCTCACTGCGTGGCCCAGGGCCAAGGTCACTGGAACTTCATGTGTTCTTACTCCCTTTCTGGAGAATAGCAATGACACTTTTCACAAGCTCTGGGGCCCACATGTCGTTTAGGTCAAGTAAACTTTCCCAACCTTTGCCCCTAGGGAGTCCAGTGCATTTGTGACCTCCCTGCAAACCACCTTTTCCCTGGCCTCCAGTGTGACACTGTTTGACCTGAACGATGGGATTCAGAAATTTGTCAACTCCTGCAGGTCCTCTGCTGAAGTCTGCCAACTCTTGGGATCCCAGGCGCGGGTCTTTAGAGGTAAGAGATGTAAAGGTCCTTGGAGAAGACCCTCCCCCACACATTCAGACCCAGACCAGAGGGATAGGAGGTATTCTAGGCTCAACCCTAGGAGAACTCTTCAGAGAGCCTGCCTTTGGAAAGGATGTAAGGCAAGAGGACTTTGTGTGTGTGCACCTTTGTGGGGGTATGCAGGTGCACACAAACACACACATGTGTGCACACATCTGTAAAGTCCTGTGTGCATATAACCCTGAGGACTCTTGTATGGTGTAGAGGTGAAAAGGAGAGGGATATCAGAGCTAATGTAATGAAGAGAAGCTAACTATTCTTCTTGCCAGTGGAGCCAAACTCATACACAGATGTTCCTCTGCTAGTCTGTGACCCCAAAAGCTTCATTGTGATAACTATTAAGTAAAAAATGTGTGCACAGTATTACCTATCTTTTTTGCTTATTTACAGATTCTAGACACACATAACAACAGTAGAAGAATACTTAGCAGAATACTCCCAGTGGTACCAATAACAATGATGATATTCCTACTCTTGTTCTTGCTTTGCCTGTTTTATCAAAAGCTTCAGTAGTGCATCTAGAGTACGGTACATGAAGAAAGAAATTTGAGACAAGTTTAGAAGGCAGATTTGGGTCTTGGAAGGGAAGTTTCACCTCTGGGATGGGAAAGCTGCTAGAATCAAAGGTGTTTCTCAGTGAAAGGGGCTGGTCCCGCTTGGCACATCGTAAGTAATCAAAGTGGGTTCTGGTTAGCTCACTTTACCACAGGACTAGTGCTGGCAGAGGATGCAGGATGTAGTGTCAGCCTCCCCATCTGGTATCCAGATGCTGGCATAAGGTAGTAGTGTCAGGTTTTGCATTTTGTCTACTGATAGGTCTAGGACATTCTCAGTGGGCCAGGTTTTTGTAATTGCTGGTCCAGTGAACTTTCTCCTATGGCCTTGCACAATGTAGAGCTTGAGAGCTATGTGGTTAACCTTTCACCTTGGAAAAAGTGCTGGAGGTTGGCCAACTTAAGGGCTCATTATTAATTTGAAAATATGGTTTAAACTTTCTAGTAACTCTAGAAAGTAATTCTAGTAGCTTTTAATTAGGCAGTTGGTTTAAAAAAGTGTATGCCCCATTATATTCTCCTGAAAACTAAGGCTCTTTGGTTTGACTTCTTTGTTTCTTTTGCCAAGGATTTAGGGGTACCAGTTCTTCCTCCCCAGTGAGGCAGGAACCTTTCAATTAACCCCATATTTGTAGAGTACATTTTATACATTCAGCATTTATATACATTAGTTATTTGTAAATGTATTTGTGCCTTGCAAATCAGGTTGCCAGAAACTTGGATTTTTAAGAGCCTGCTCATAGCAGCCCTACTACTCTCTGACTTTTGTTCTTTGAATTAATTGGATACGGCTTGCAGTATTGCTCCTGTGAATCCTTGTTTCCTTTATGTGGCCCTCATTCTTCTCCTTTCAGAGCTTTTGAGAACCAAATAGCCATGCATATTGGCTAAAAATGAGCTCACTTGCCTGTTTTTCCCTCCACATTTTATAGGCACAACCAGCTAGTCTCTTGGTAACTTTTCTGAGTGCTAGGGAGATGGCTAGACTAGGAGAAGCTGTTGTGCCCTGATATCTGGGTGTTTCTGGCATGTGGAGAGCCCTTGGCTATTCTGGACACTTCCATTGGAAAAGAGTTTTTTGGGGTTTTTTTTTGCCCTTCTATTCACAAAACATCCACTTCCCTGTCTTACAAAGAACTGCAGCACTCATGGTCTCCAGAGGTTTATAGACCTTGGAAATCCCCGTGGAATGTCTCAGCCTTAGATTTACTTGAGTGCTCATTGTCTGTTTGGGCGGATGTTATGCCCAGGAAAGACCATGGGAATTGTGAATGTAGAAAAATCACACCACCAGGATTAAAATGAAAATGAGAGTATATGAAGTGTGGTTGAAAAAATGATGAAGGTTTAATTTTTTTTAAAAATGTGTTACAGTAAAAGACATTGCCACTAATCCTCCTCAGTATGTACCTCCCTGCTTCAAGCACACTTGTCCTTTTATTCTTGACACTTTTTGAAGTCTACTTTTTTTTTTTTTAATTTTATTTATTTATTTATTTTCTTTGCGGAACCGGGGATTGAACTCAAGCCCTTGCACTTGCCAGGGAGGCGTTATTCCATTGAGCCATCTCCCAGCCGTCTTGACACTTTTTGAAGCAGTTCTGGAAGTCTTTTTTGGTATCTTTAGTTGTGCTTTTGTGGCTGCATTAGTGTCCTGGGTCCATTGAAAATATTCCCTTTTCATGGTCATTTTGACTTTGGGGAAAAGCTAGAAGTTACACTGCCGGATCCCGTGAGTATGGTGATTGAAGAAGCACTCTAATGTTTTTACAAACCTGCCTTTCCATTTTGGATGGCACTTGGCAGCAGCGTTCGCTATATGTTTCATCACACCTTATGGATACCCAAAAGGACTTCCAGAGCTGCTTTAGAAAGTGGTAAGAATGATGGGATAAGGATATTGGAAGAGAAAGGAGAGTATTTGGAAGGAGATTGATGACAGTATGTCTTTTAATGTAATTTTTTTAAAATGTTAAACATTCATCATATATTTCCATCACGTCTTGTATGTGGTTTTATTTGGTGGAGTTATGATAAAATACTCTTTGAGAATTTTATGAAAAACAGCTCCTTACTGCAAAGGCAGAGCTTGTTCTCCCCGCTTTTGCATAAATCTATTTCTGTGGAGGGACTGGTTGCTTCAGCATGGCAAAGTACGTGCCGGCCTAGCTCAGTAGGCAGGATGGAAAGAAAGCATGACACTGGCTTCCAGAAACTGTCTAATCAGACCCAGCAATCCAGGCTGGCCGCTGGACAAGCTAGGGATGCACAGATAACTTTTTGTCCTGGGAGTATTTCTTTTTCTGTTAAGGATAGTAGACTGGCAAAGTAGTAGAAGTTCAGTACCTTCTTGGTGCCAACTTTGCAGTGTTCATTTGGTGAGATCTTCCATTAAATAGAAATCTCTCTTAAATACAGACCTTTTACAATAAACAAAGGAAATTCAGTCACACATGAATGGGGTTCTGATTTAACATGCGCACTTCCACTGATAAAGACAGGAAATGCAGGGCTGAGAGCTGAAGTTGTGTCCTTAGCTTACCTTGCAGTGCCCAGGCTGCTCACTGACCTGAGTTCTCAGAACTCCCTACAGTAGTGGCTGCTGGCATCCTGTGTGGGCTGATGAGCCCTAATGCCAGGGCCTGCCTGGGCGAGGAGCAGGTTTGCAGTGTTGACAGCTGCTGCCTCATTCCTGAACAGGTTGAGGTTCCCTTAGAGAAAAAGGACAGACCATGCCTAGAAAATTGGCAGCCACCCCTCAGTGTGCAGCATATACATTTCCCTTTCCATGTTGACCTTACTCTTGCCTCCCAACAACAGTGCACGCTTCTCTTGCCTTGCGCTGTATGCGGGTGTTCACTGTCCAGTTGGTTTCATAACTTCACTCTTCTGTCTGGGTATTCCCACTTATTACATGGACCCTTTGGGGTAGGTCTGCCTCAGATGGTAAAATGTACCCTCACTGTGTGTGCTGTAAACAACTTCGTAGAGGCGCATGCACCCAACAGGGAGTGCTTTATAATAATGAAGTGATTCTTTGTCATTCAAGAAATGAACAAAGCCCTAAAGCAGCCTGCCAGATTGGCTCCTATCCTGCCCACCTCTGCTTCTCTTGGTAAAGGTGCTGAGATCAATGAAAGGGTACATCTCCAGCACATGCAGTCCGACCAGTGCCCACACTAGGTGCCAAAGGCCCAGAGATAAACAAGACACTATCACTGTCGTGGGAGAGACAACCAGATAGACATAACTACACTCCGGTCTGGATAGTTAGACAGCCACCATACTTTTTCTCTTGGGCAGTGCACTGTCAGGGCAGCAGCTACCTGGCAGGAGTGTGCTCCATCCCTCAGGACAGCAGTGGTGAACCTCTGTCAAACACGTGCTGCAGGAGGCGTACAGCACTGTTACTGTCACTGTTACTCTTACACCAAAATTAACACCCGTTACAGTAACACCCATTACTGTTCCACCAAATTGCTCTAGCATCACCCCAGCAGCTGCACATGGGATAACAGCACACACAGTGGGGATGCATGTTGGCATTTTATGGTAAGTGCATTTTGGGTTGCAGTTTGGGTCCTTGGTCTCTAAAAGGTCACTGCCCTAGGCCACACATCACATAAAGCTGAGACATGCTCCACTTCAGACAGATCCGCCTCATGCTGATTGCCTGTGATCTAAATCTGTTCACTACCTAAGATCATGGTCACATTGTCTGGGTTTGGCCCAGTCCTCTAGCACTGCAGGTGTAGAGCACACCTCTTTGAGGCCACATTTGCAGTGGCGCTGCACCTCTTCCACTGTGTTTTCTCTGTGACTACTTTTTCAGTGAGGAGTGCTTGTGAGAGTTCAGTGCTGGGGGCCGGGCCTGACATGGAGAGGGGTGGCGGAGGGCAGTGTAGAACGGCCTTGGCAAAGTTTCCAGAGCCTCTCGAAATGCCAAGTTCATGCATCTGACACTTTTTTTTTGAGGTGGAGGAGGTCTTATTTTGTTTCACTGTCCTGTCTTTCCATTCCAGCGGGCAGCTTGTGCAAGCGAAAGAGTCCACAATGTGACAAAGAGACCTCCATCTGTACCGACCTGGACGGAGTCGCACTGTGCCAGTGCAAGTCGGGCTACTTTCAGTTCAACAAGATGGATCACTCATGCCGAGGTATCTGCAGTTTCTCCTGCAGTTTCTCCAGTTTCTGGGCTGTCCTAGGACAGGAAGACGCCTTTCTCTGTGTGGTCCTCTCCCTCTCTGCTCTGGGTGTAGCTTTTCTAAATTGGGGGTGACTGGTTCTTGTTTTCTTGTTCACAGCAGGATTGAATACATTATCTCCTTAGAATAATAGTATTATCTCCGACTGGTACGTGCTGGTCTCTCTAGTTCCATTCAAAAGAAAAAAGACAAAAGAAGGGAGAAGAGAATGGAATACCTGTGGGAGCAATGCCTGTTTTGTTTTGTTTTGTTTTTTCACTTAAGAGAAAGTTAGGAAAATTATTGTTATGATTACCTAGCTTTATTTATTGCTGGTTAATCTTTTAAAATGGAAATGTAAGCATGGAGCCAGGCCAGTGCCTTATAGGGGTAGCTGCAGCCCAGAAGACCTGAGGCAGAGCCACACTCTGGGTTTCATCTTTGGGGGAGTCAGTTAATTTCCTAAAGCCTCAGTTCCCTCTTCAATGAAATGAGTATTTGGGTACTTCATAGTTATTTCTAATAATTTAAAAAGAAAGTCTATGGAGAAATTCTTTGTAAGCCATCAGCATTTGCTCTTGTATCTTACCCAGGCTGTTGTTGAATTAATGAATTATAATTTTTAAGGTTCATGAAGTATTTGAGAGCTGAAATGTAATTCTGCTAGCCTTTTAGGTGAGGTTTAAATTATTCAGTTTGAGATAAAAACTGCTCAGTGAGTATTGTCTGAGAATATTGCTTTAAACTAAAATTAATTCGGGTCCAGAGCACAGTATACTCTGACGTAAAAGACTGCTGCAGTTCATCAGCAGCAGAGAAGCTGGCACCATAAATATAGGCTAGCATTTGTTTTTTTATGTAGCTTTGAGAATTGCCTCCCATTGGAATGCAGATGACAACAGATTTCCTGCCCAGTCAGCACCTTGCTAGTGACAGATGTACTGGGATCTGAGTAAAAGTCACATACTGGGACAAGGTGACATGTGGCTTATTTCTGTCAGGACTTCCCACCAAAGAAATTGTTCCATCAAAAGAATGTAAAGATACGTTCTGGGGCAGCACTCTTACCCTGATCTTCAGACCCTCTGACCTTGATAGGTTTAGGAATAAAGTCCTTTCAAAGTGGGCAGATCATTTCTCCAGGCAGGACATGTAATGGGTTTTAAAAGAGAAGGCCAGCTCTCTGAGCTGGGCATCAGTGCTGACATGCAACCGCTCTGCAGCATTCCTCGGTACAATGTCAGACTGCTGCTTTGCTATGACGAGCTGGTGCTTGCCAGTTCCCTCTTGCCTGGTCTAGTACAAGTGTTCCTTGACCTTTTTACAAATGAGGTGTTAACAAGAGTTCAAATCGTCCCACTACAGGGATACTCGCTTACCTGTATTTATAACAGCACTATGAGTAGAAGCTGCATCTTAGAAACAGCATACGTCCATCAGCAAATGAGTGGATAAAGAAAATGCATTTACTATTTTGCCATAAAGGAAGATGAACTTGAGACATTTTTTAGGCTCTGCCATAAAGAGCTTGAGGCATTCATAAGAAAAGGGATACAACTTGAGAACATAATGTTAAATGATGTAGGCCAGATGCACAAGCTTAAATTTGTATGACTTCTCTTATGTGAGAAATAAGTATCTATACACACATATACAACAAATAAAGATCAAAATAGAAGAGAGAGGGGGCCTGCCCCTTAGCTCAGTTCTTTAAGTGGCTGCTTCAACAAAGCCGTTAGGCTCAGGTTGCTGTGGTTCAATCCCCACAACTCAAGCCAGCCAGTCATGCCTTGAAGGCATTCGGAGCAAAAAAAAAAAAAGAAGAGAGATAAATAGGACATAAGAAGTTCAAACACTTCCCCAAATTATAAATTCCATTTTTAAAAAATATTTCAATTGCTTCTTGGCCTTTTGGCTAAGATCAAGTGTAAAAATATTTCAAAATATATGCTAATCAGTTTCATTTATAATACTAGTTTGCTTAGTTCATTGAAAAAAATTTGTTTTTATCTGTTTCTTTTTTATAGGAATCTTTTCGATTTGTGTCTTGTACTCTAATAACTACTTTGAAGATAATGATAAACAATGATAATGTAATAACTATTGTTATTCACTTATTATTTGATTATGATGTTTTATTTTATTTTTTCATAAAATAAAAAGGAATGGGAAATTGAGCCTGGCTTCACATTGGTGATGGCACTGAAGCCCATGTGTGATAGATGCTAAGCAGATGCTGGGAGGGGACAATAGGGGTAAAAGTGCAGGCACATAGGGAGTGACTCCTGTGAGGGGAGCTTTAGGAACAGCCCAGCTTGCCACCCTTGCTTCCAGCTAGCATGAGCTATTTCCCTCTGTTTCCAAGTCAGTATTTTCATAATCGTGCCATAGGCTAGTGTTAGCAGTTGCGGAGCTGTTAGAGATTTACCAAGTGTAATGACATAGATCCTGGCAATTTTATGTTTACCAAGTAATGACCCAAGAAGCAGTGTAAGAAAACTTGATTAGCTTGTGGGCTTGTTGCTCAGTCCATAAAGCCCCTATTGAGCAGCACCGTGGTCATCAGGCCTCCCAGGAGTGGATCCTGGAGCTTTGTGGGCCAAAGCCTTGTCGGCTGGGTTCTCATGGCTTAGTAGTGACATCTTCTGGCCATCAATGCTGGAGCACAAGATACCAAATAATAACACTCTGGACACCTTGAATTTGGTCAGTCCCCTTTGGAAATGGAGGAATTATTTCTAAATCAGTGCATCTCAAACTAGTTTGTATCCTGTTCTCAGTTATACACAAACACACAGGCCACTTAGCATAGCACATAAAAATCTTCATAGTATCTACCAGACTTTGAAAGCTAGATAAAAAATTAAAGCAGGTACCCTTCCGATAGGTTTCTTGGCTTCTTTGCATCAAACAGGCATTCTGATGAATTTTAACAATCTGTTTGCATCTCCCAGACTGCAAGTGCCTTGCGGGCCAGGACCATATCTGCCATAGGGCTTAACGCATTGTAGCATTCCATAAGTGTCTGTTGAATGGACACATGGACAGTAAGACAGCAAATATGGTAGGAAAAGATTGGCACATGTTGACTTACCACCAGCAAAGGAACAAAATTGTTATTAATACTTTGCCAGAGCTGGGGAGATGGCTCAGTAGAATAAGCGCTTGCGCACAAGGGCCTGAGTTCAATCCCTGGTTCCCCCCCAAAAAAGACTTTGCCATTTACTTATTGTTTCTAAATTCCTAAGGCTTTAATTTGCCTGTTTCCCATAGCAACAGGGGAAGCCCATTTGGAGGCATTTATGTAAGCTGTTGTCACATGCATTTCATCTTTAGTGCCGGTGGTCGGCATCCCTCTGGGCTGTACATGGTGAGGTGCTGGCTCCTAACGAGCACCCGAGTGTCTCACTGTGAAGTGGTTTCTGCACAGGGTCTCCAGCATAGCAGCAGGCATACAGTACATTCAGTCTTTGATGTATGAGTATATGAGCCCTTTTGAAATAGACACCAAGGAATTAGGCCACTTCTGTCACTAAATGAAAATATCCCAACCCGTTGGCTGTCATGCAGCATAGCAGATGGACCTTATGTGTGGCTGGATGACAGCCAAGAGAAGAGAGGTCCTGCACTGCAGATGAGGGTTAGGAAGGTAAATTTGATGCAAAAACTTTTTCAGGAAGAAGAGTTTAGAATACAACAAATTAGGTGACATCACCCGCTTCAGTGCCCAGGAAAGGCAGGGGTACTCAGCCTGTCTCTTCAAGAAGACCTGCTGTCGTAAAGCCAGAAAGTTCAAAG